ACACTAAAACCCCAGATCTGCTTTATGAAAGTGATGCCTTCTTAAGACATTGATCACTGACTTTACAAATGGAACACACCAAAAAAAACACATAAAATAAAAATAAAAAATAAACAAATGAAACAAACCAACAAAACACCCCAGTTTTGATGAGAGAAGAGAGCTGTACTAATCCCAACTCTGCCTGATGAAAGTGTACGGTTCTGCTTTGGAGTCTGCCTTGCAAGCATAAGTGACAACTTCTTTGCAGAGCAGTTGACATGGGGTAGGCTCCTGGACTGTGCAGGAGGCATGCAACCTGGTCCAGGTTTTGCATTTTCCAGTCCTTCTCTGTGAATCTCTTTCACTGCTTCCTGAAACTCCTCATCTGTGGAACTCCAAGATATCTGCTAACCATCAATTTAGGAACGTGTTAATACTGGATAACACCGATCTCCCTGGAAGAGTCTGTAAAATTAGGAATATTATTATGACAAATGTAATGACTTCATAGAGTTGCATATTCTGGGATTTATGTAAGGATGATCTTGATAACTTGATGACTACAGCACAGCACGGAAGCCAACTTTTAACTTCAAGTATTGGCAGCAGTGATGAAATTAACAGAATAAATGACATTTATTGAATATTTATTCTGTGCCATGTGCTGTACTAAGCATGTTTCATAATTAACCCCATTTTACAGGAAAGGAAACTATTTCTTGGACAGCTTCCATAGTTGGTTTAAGGTAAATAGCTTCCAATCATGGAGTCATGATCTCACTCAAGCATCCTGACTTCCATCTATGGCCCTAACCTCTAGAACTTTTTCTTCTGAATCTTAAAATTAATGTTTCTTCTCATGCAAATCATAGTTTCTGGAATTCCCACGTTCTAGAAGCAACACTTCTTATATTTCTTTGAGACACGGGGAGATTTTTTTTTTCCCTCTGCATTAGGCTTTTCATTGAAACACAGATGAATTCTTTTTCTTTTCCCAGTTTTTTTTTTGAACTTCTGAATTTTATTTTATTTATTTTTTATACAGCAGGTTCTTATTAGTTATCCATTTTATACATATTAGTGTATGTATGTCAGTCCCAATTCATCCCCCGCCCCCCCACTTTCCCCCCTTGGTGTCCATACGTTTGTTCTCTACAGACACACAGATCAATTCTTCTCTGACTATTCCACTGTTTCTATAATCAGAGTGTGTGACTGACAGGATGTGATTCAGTTGGAATACAAGGTATAATGCCATACTGATTATGGGGGGCATTCCACTTAAATGGCTAGTAACGTCTTTCCCTGAAATATTCGAAGAATGTTTTCCAGGAATCAAAGAGAGACAAGGCTGATAAATGATATGCTTTAATAAAAAATGATCTATTAGGAGAAATTGGGGCCATTAGGGGAGGGACCCATTTTGTGAGAGTAAAAATAGCTTGAACAATATCAGTGCATCTCCACACCCACATTTTCCCCCTTTCTCCATGATTTAAACTGGAATGAAAGACATATCATGGGAATGGGAAATGATCCTTCTGATGTTCTTTCATGAATATGTTTGCATTGCAGTTGAAACTTTTACTATCTCTCCAGATACAGAAGCATCACTGTAGTCCTACTAACATATAGCCTATATACTAGTAGCAAAATGGCTAATTCACTAAAACCCCAGGATAATGCTGGCCAAGGTACATATTAAGTGGGAGACAGAAGGGTTGGCGGGGGTGGGCTGATGGGTGGGGAGGTGTTTGCCTAGCCTAATTTTTCTGAATCGGGCCGTGTAATTGAGCCACTAACTGGGGAATCACTGTCCTGGAATCACTGTCATTGTTTTGGAAATTCCAGTTGCCACAGGACCTCAAGTGACATCCATCAACACACAAGCTGATGGGGGAAGAATGGATCGGGGGTATGGGATTAGCAGATGCAAACGATTACATATGGAATGCATAAACAACAAGGTCTTTATGTTTAGCACAGGAAACTATATTCAATATCCTGTAATAAACCATAATGGAAAAGAATATGAAAAACACACACACACACAAGCTAGAGTGGACAGCCACCATCAGGTAATGCCAAACCCCAGGTAGGACCAGGACAGATTTGGATTGTGTGGCCAGACCCCTGGAATTCCCTGCTGGCTGGCTGCACAGGCTGGCCTTAGTCTCCATTAACCTTATGATAATGTGTTGCGATTTAAATGGTTAAATTCCATTCAATTTAATTTTTTTTGTTAATAGCTTTATTGAGATATAATTCATATACTATTCAAATCACCCTTTTAAAGGTACATATTCAAAGGTTTTTAGTATATTACTAGAGTTATGCAACCATCATCACAAGTTTAGAACATTTTCACCAAAAGGAAACCCTGTAATCTTTAGCAGTCCCTGCCTTCGCCTATTTTCCTCCACCCCCAGCCCTAAGCAACCACTAACCTACTTTCTTTCTCTGTTGATTTGCTATAATGTTTTCTCTGTATATAAAGAATCTAGACAGTTTATATAAATGGGATCATATAACTTATGGTCTATTGTGACTGGTGTCTTTCACTTAGCATAGCGTTTTCAAGATTTAACTGTGTTGCAACATGTATCAGTACTTCATCCCTCATTATTACCAAGTAACATTCCCCTGTAGGAATATACCACATTTTATTTATTCATTCATCAGTTGATGGACATTTGGGTTGTTTTCACTTTTTTGGCTATTATGAATAATGCTGCTGTGAGCATTTGTTCAAACAAGTTTTTGTGTGGATGTATCTTTCATTTCTTGTGGGTCTATACCGAGGAGTAGAATTGCTGGGTCATGTGATAACTGTGTTTACCCTTTTGAGAAAATGCCAGACTGTCTTCCAAAGTGGCTGCACCATTGTACATTTCCACCAGTGATGTATGAGGGTTCCAGTTTCTCCACTCAGTGTTGTTGTTGTTGTTGTTTTAATTTATTTATTTTTGGCTGTGTTGGGTCTTCGTTGCTGTGCGCAGGCTTTCTCTAGTTGTGGCGAGCAGGGCCTACTCATCATTGCAGTGTGCGGGCTTCTCATTGCGGTGGCTTCTCTTGTTGCAGAGCATGGGCTCTAGGTACGCGGGCTTCAGTAGTTGCGGCATGTGGGCTTAGTAGCTGTGGCTCACAGGCTCTAGAGCGCTGGCTCAGTAGTTGTGGTGCATGGGCTTAGTTGCTCCGCAGCATGTGGGATCTTCCCGGACCAGGGTTTGAATCCGTGTCCCCCGCTCTGGCAGGCGGATTCTTAACCATTGTGCCACCAGGGAAGTCCCTATTACCTTAATTTATGCTCTTATTATTATTTTTCTACTTCACTTAGGTTTTATCTCTTCTTTTCTCTTGTAGTCTTTTCAGTTGAATACAATGATTTTTTTTTAACCAGTTCAACTAGTTTTAAGTGTATAGCTCAGTGGTATTAAATACATTCACATTGTTGTGCATCCATTACCCCCATCCACCCCCAAAACTCTTTTCATCTTGAAATACTGCAAATCTATACCCATTAAACAAAAACTCGGCATTCTTCCCTCCCCTTAGCCCTCAGCAACCACCATTCTACTTTCTGTTCCTGTGATTTTCACTACTCTAGGCACATCACATAAGTGGAATTGTACAGTGTTTGTCTTTTTGTGACTGGTTTATTTCACTTAGCATTATGTCCTCAAGTTTCATCCATGTTGTAGCATATTGCAGAATCCCCTTCCTTTTTAAAGGCTGAATAGTATTCCACTGTATGGAAAGACCACATTTTGCTTACCTATTCATCCTAACCCATTTATTTTTAGACTTACATTTTTAAATGCATGCATTTAAGGCTATGCATTTACTTACATCAAAACTTACAAGTTTTGATATGTGATACTCTCATGACTATCGAGGTCTAAATATTTAAAATTTTTCATTGTTATCTCCTTTTTCTCTCATGAGCTATTTAGAAGTACTTTCCTGATCATAAATTTTTGAAGCCTCTTGCTGCTGGTTGATAAATCATTTTCTTAAAGCCTTTTCATACCTCCACAAGCTGTGTGGATACTTGCCCCAGATGATGTCTTAAGAATAACAACAAACAACAAATGAACAACACATGTCCTATAGAGCTTCTCCCCCAGCCCAGTACAAAACTACATACCTGTGCAGTCAAGAAGGTCAGTACAATAAAGAGGCTAAGTCTGGATTCAAGTGCTGACCAGACCACTTGGTAAGTGTGGGAATTTGGGCAAATAACTTAATCTTGCTGCACCTCAGTTTCATCTTCTATAAAACAAAGCTAACAAAACAGTATCTGTTTCACAGAGTTATTGGGGAGTGTTTAGCACCTAGCCATCATTCAATAAATAGTACTATTTTAAAAATCAGTCTAGCTGCTGATTTTACCTTGTACTTTTAATGCTGCTGTGCTTTGTTGGTTAAGATAAACCTCTGGGTTTCTGGAAAGTAAAGACCCATGTTCCAAATAGCTTTGTTATACTTGTGTCCAAAATAGTTTCATGTCTCTCTGAAGTTCATGCAAACACATACAGAGTGGACACAGGCACCGGCAGACAAGACTGTCCCATTTTATATTCAAATTCAAATTCAAAATACACACAGATGCAAACGACAGAGATTGTCACGAAAACGCACTCAGCCAAGCCCAGAACCCACAGATCCAGGTCCACACTCACGCTTCTGTAACACTCGCCACAAAGATGGATCCATTGCCCCCAGATAGAGATGCTCTCACAAATCCCACTCAAAACCTAGCAGCACGCTGATGTCACAAGCCCCAGTATGGGCTGCTGCCTTGTTTTTACTTCCTTTGTGATGGTTCTGTTTTAGTTGTTTTGTTGTTCTTCGTAGAGTTATCACCTACCCTCTTTTCTTCTACCCAGCCCCCAAGCTCCCCGCCCCAAGCGTCCATTGCGCATGCGTCCTCATCCTTTTTTTTTCTCTCTCTCTCTCTCTCTCTCTCTCTCCCCCTCCTCCCCACCGCCCCCCCCCAACACTCCTGTACCAGTCGGCTGTCCCCGGCCCTGGCGGCGGAAGAGATGGAGCAACGTCACGAGCGCCCGGCCCCTTAAGACGCTGCTGGCTGGAGCCGCCTCCCTCCCTGCAACCCGCAGCGGAGATGGAGTAAAGGGAGACCCGTCGACCTGCCCGCGGAGATCAGCGATGGAGTTAAAGCAATCTTTGTCCATCCATCTGGAAGCTGAGAAGCCTTTGAGGCGCTATGGGGCGGTGGAGGAGACGGCGTGGAAAGCGGAGGGACTGGGGAGAAGTGAGTTTTCGGGCGGGGGGTGGGACAGTTGGGGATCCGTGCGCTGGAGCGGGTGGTCGCGGGAGCGCGGGGTTGGTAGGGAGCGGACCGAGGGAGGCGCCCCCGCAGCGGGGCTTTCAGCGCTGCGGGGATGCGCTGCGCTGCGCTGCGACGCTCTCTCCCTCGAACAAAAGCCTCCGGGTTGGGCTTCACCGGGAGGCTCGGGAATCTCCAGGCAGCTGAGCCGGGAGTCTGGGGTGGACTCGGGAGTCCCGGATCCAAGCTCGCAGCCGGTCTTGGAAAGTAGGGTCTTTCCCGCAGCCGAGGGAGGAGGGTCTTTTCTTCACCGGGATGCACTAGGACGCTGGAGCCTTTGGACCATCCTGGAAAGCGCCCACGTCTCTGGAGAGGGGGGAGTGTCCGCTGGGTTTCTGCTTTTGCTTCTCCCCCGGCGTGAGGTTCAGGGCACACCTGAAATTCCCAGCGTTTCTTCTCCTGCCTTCTCCAGGGTCGCGAGTGGGAGGGAAAGGATTAGGGGAAGGTTAACCCTGTGCACGCCCTTCTTTCTCTCTTGACTCAAAGTCTCTGGTTTGGGTACAATCCTAGAAGGCAGTTCTGAAATGGACAGACTGTATTTGCTACTTCTCTCTACGGTATTTTGGGGTCAACAACATTAACAAATAAACTAAGGATTGTTTGTTTTTAATGAATAGGATGCAGTAGTTGAAACTCCTGCTCTCAAAGTATAGAGGCAGCTGCAGGGGTCCCAGCGTCACCAGCCCTCCCTGCAAACCCCGGGCGCTTAGCAGTCCCCTGCCCTTGCACTGCTTGCTTTAGCTCCGTACCTCCATCCGGGCTGGAAAGGGCCGTCTCGCCCTTCACAAGGACCCTCAGCTTCCTGCCTTGGCGCTGAGCTATGTTGGACCGAAGTATTGTGAATATGCTCTTTTCCTGTCTTCACCTGGTAGAAGATTGTGTGTATGTGTGCTTTCTCCATACCTGTAATTACAAATTAAGAAGATCTTTTTAGAATGGCTCAACTGTACTCTGGTTTTCATGGGTTCAAGTAGAAATCACAGTCAAATGTCTTAGTTCTGCACCTGGAAACCAGAGTGTGTCCAGCCTCTCTCCTTTTCTTTTCTTTCTCCTTTTAAAATATGTGTCCTTCCTCCCGTTTCATCCTTTCAAAACCCTTTGGCTTTGGTACTTTAACATGACATGAGGGCTGAGGGTCTCTGGTCTTCCTGCAAGCTCAAAATAATACCCACAATGGCTGCCTTTTGTTGATAGATTGCCATGTATTAGGTCTTGCCTGTGCTAAGAACTTTAAATGCATCCTCTCATTCAATCCCTGGAACAGCCTCCTTGAGGGGAATATTATGACTTATGACTCCCCTTACATAGATGGAAAAATTGGGGCTTGCTAGGTGAGGTGATTTAAGTGGCAGAGTCAGGATTTGAACTCAGGTTTGTTGGGCCCCTGCACCCCTCTCTGCTTTTAACCTGAAGGTGTATTGCTTTCACATTTTCAGGAAGCTTTCTAAATCTGTTGAGAGTCCCAGAACACATTCAGTGATTTTAAGTATGTGGCAGCCTGTTGGTCTCTGGAGTTCACGGTGGCCTTGAAAGACTACTGGGTCTGTGCAGAATAGAAGCCCTGGGTTTGAATCCTGGCTCTGCCCCCTTGCTGACATGTGACTGAATTTATAACTAGTCACATTTTTTTTAAGCCTCACTCTGCCTCTGTTCTCTGAAAGGGAGATGATAATAATACATACCTTATGGCTTAATTGTGAACATTCAATAAGATGATGTAGGTAGAGCTCAAGGTAAGTGCTGAATATATTGGCTGCTTCCATTATTTTGTTACTACATCTGTAGAAAGAACCTGTTTTTATCCTTTGCAAAGAATTACATAAATCAACACTATGGACTAAAGCTGCAATGTTGGCCAGGTCCCTAGTAATTCTCTTATGTTTTTTTATGTTCTCACCACTTTATTAGGAAAAATTTCAAGCATACAGAAAAATTGCAGTGAAAACCTGATTTATAGCATTTTTGCTCCTGAAATTTTTGTACTTCTAAGTCTTAGGCTGCAAACTGTTAAAAGGTTGGCGGAAAGGCTTTCTTATCCTCTCTCTTCCAAACCAACAAAGATTCTCACTCTTGCTTCCCATTCAGATGCAAGACCACAGTTTCTGATCTGCTTTTGGTGTGGATCCCCAAATCTTTTTTTTTCTTTCATTTTTACCTATTCAAATTCAAAATCTTCTTAAAGCACTGATCCAGAGTTTCACTTTTTTTTTTTTTTCAGAGTTTCACTTTTGAATCTAGACTTTTGATCTCTAGACTCTTGTCTGCAGCCTAACTTTTTTTTTTTTTTTTTTAAGTGGACTTTTTTTTCTTTTTGGACTCTCTCTCAACTCCCAGGGGATCTGTGGATCCATCCCATAACATCTGGGGCCTCCACTTATTTATTAATGAAGTGTGAAAATTAGTACTATTGATTCTGTGGCATAATAATTGTCAAGCCAATGTCGCTATGCAGGAAATGCTGGAGAAAAAGAGAGGCCCATTAAAAAGAAGACACTCTCTGTTTAACTTTTACACATATTTAAATATTTTATGTTAAACACTGAGTAGGTGTTACTTAAAAAGACTTGAAAAGGGGAAAAAGATTGCAAAACTGGTCATTTTCAGTTAAGGTTGTATTAACCATTCTCTTTAATGTTAGCTAGAGTTTCTAGGTAGAAGATATAAATAGTGTAGTAGCTAAGAATGAGAGTTTTGAAATCAGGTGACATGGATCCAAACCAGCTCTAACACCTTGTTGCTTTGTCACCCTGGGAAAATTGCTGAACCGTTCTGTAAGTTAGCTGTCTCATCTATAAAATGGGGATATGTTGGTTTGAACCCTTGGGAACTTGCCAGCTGAAATCTGAAACTGGCCCCGTACTCAGAGGGCAAGAAGAGGCCAAAGAAAGAGACAGCCACTCCAGATTGGTAGGTGGCAGGTTTAGCAACAAGGGAACTTACATACGAGGCTTGTCTTGGGCACCACAAGATCTCTGCACCGGCCCGCCAGAATCTCAACAGTTTACATAGAGGCCTTAATGGGGTTCAGTGGTGTATCCCATCCTGATGGTCTCAACAACATCCTACTCTCTCAAAGCCGCATCCTTGAACTGGCTCCTAGTGCAAGAAGAATGGGTGGAATATACATTTCAAGGACGGGAGGGGTGAGGAGCCTCCGATGACCCCAGTCCTGCTCAAGAGTCAGCTGGCAGTTCCATCCTCTCAGTGACATCTTCCAACAGGATGGTAAGGACCACTTCAGGCTGTTGGGAGGATTAAATGAGATAATGTATATAATGCATTTAGCACAGTGCTTGACATACAGTAAGCACTCAATCCATGCTGAATGGTTGTCACAATAGGGCAGGGGTCCCCAACCCCGGGCCATGGACCGGTATCAGCCTGTGGCCTGTTAGGAACCAGGCCATACAGCAGGAGGTGAGCAGCGGGCAGGTGAGCGAAGCATCATCGGTATTTACAGACTCTCCCTATCATTGCACTACCGCCTGAGCTCCGCCTCCTGTCAGGTCAGCTGCGGCATTAGATTCTCATAGGAGCTCGAACCCTACCGTGAACTGCGCATGCGAGGGATCTAGGTTGCGCGCTCCTTATGAGAATCTAATGCCTGATGATCTGAGGTGGAGCTGAGGTGGTGATGCCAGCGCTGGGGAGCGGCTGCAAATACAGATTATCATTAGCAGAGAGGTTTGCCTGCACAGAGACCATAACAAATCAATTGCTTGCAGACTCATATCAAAGCCCTATCAGTGAGTGGCAAGTGAAAACAAGCTCAGGGCTCCCACTGATTCTGTATTATGGTGAGTTGTATAATTATTTCATTATATATTACAATGTAATAATAATAGAAGTAAAGTGCACAGTAAATGTAATGCCCATGAATCATCCTGAAACCGTCCCCCCACCCCCGGTCCGTGGAAAAATTGTCTTCCACGAAACCGGTCCCTGGTGCCAAAAAAGGTTGGGGACCACAGCAATAGGATGGTGAGGATGGTGCCCAATAGCATTGGAGGAGATTATTCCAGCCTGCCAGTTTTTCCTTGCGTGCATTTCTTTGTAAGTTCCAGGTAATGATTGTGTAGATACCACCTTCTTCCTTATGGGAAGGTATAGGAAACGGCTTTTGCACCCTTGGAAACCACCTAGTATTTTCTCCTTTGAGAAAGAGTCTAAGGAATTGATCCCATCCACTTATTCTTTTTTTTTTTTTTTAATACATTTATTTATTTATTTTTGGCTGCGTTGGGTCTTCATTGCTGTGCATGGGCTTTCTCTAGTTGCGGTGATCAGGGGGGCTACTCTTTGTTGTGGTGCACGGGCTTCTCATTGCGGTGGCTTCTCCTTGCGGAGCACGGGCTCTAGGCGTGCGGGCTTCAGTAGTTGTGGCACACGGGCTTCAGTAGTTGTGGCTCGCGGGCTTTAGAGCACAGGCTCAGTAGTTGCGGCGCATGGGCTCAGTTGCTCCGTGTCATGTGGGATCTTCCCGGACCAGGGCTCGAACCCGTGTCCCCTGCATTGGCAGGTGGATTCTTAACCACTGTGCCACCAGGAAAGCCCTCCCATCCACTTCTGACAACATTTTCCCACTAGAAGTGAGTAGGTTTTTTGTTTTTTTTTACTCAGTTGGAAAATGCATAGTGACATTTCAGTGTGGTTAGATATATAAAAGTATTGCTTTCAACCAACTGTAATTAATTAGGGGAGACACAAAGACAAGGTGCCTTTTGACAAAGCACAGAGCTTTTTAAAAGCACAGTTGTCGGTGGTCATGGCCGTTTCTTGAAAGATTTGAGTGTGCCTTAAAGGATGATCAGGATTTTGGACAGGGGAGGTGGGGGATGGTGGCACAGCGGGTAGGAGATGCCAGGAGAGATAACAGCATTGGCAAAAGCATAGAGGTGGAAATAAATGTGCTTATGAGTAGGAGA